ATACATATATGTATTATTTATTTAAAAATTATAACATAAGCATATAACATCACTACAAAAATAGCCACTTTGTTTCAACATTTCTGGTGTCTTGTTTGCAATCAACACCATTATTTGACAAGACAGCAGAAACAAAATGGCTATTTTTGTAGTGATGTTATAATATGCTTATGTTATAATTTTTAAATAAATATTATTTGCTCTACTTTGTATTGAGCACCTTTTAAAAATAGTGGTTTGGGCTATTGGAATTTTATTCCATCAATACCAACCCTGTATTTGGTTACATACACATGTGTAGAAAAAATTTGTTTACTCAACATTCTATTTTCTTCCATGGAAATTCCATGGGTCCCACTAGTTAGAATATTATTCTATGTTTAAACTATTTTTTGGAATAAGAGTAGGAAATGATGGCCATAACGAAATTGGCAATGTACAATTTATAGGGTTTGATTATAAAACAAGGGGTGCATATTATGCATGAGTAGAAGCATTTTCCCCACACTTTCAGCACAATTTTAAGGGTGCGTATTATGGATGAAGGCATATTATACATGGGGAATTATAGTATGTCAAAATTATGACCTGGATGTTTCAATCATCTGATCTATTCCCATTGAATCAGTATGAGATTAATTGCATATGAGTACTCAAAGAGAATACCTAGAGAATGAGTGATCTTTTTTCCAGTGCATGAAGAAAAATGCTTAGGAAGGTCTGCCATCTACTAAAAAAAAAAAAACAAAAAAAAAAACAAAACAAAAACTATTGTAAAGAGAATGCCAAGAATTTGTAGTAATTAAGGCAAGTGGTGGTGTTATTGACAAAAACAAAATATGATGCTGTTGTACAATTTTTTTTTTTTATAGGTAAGTGCTTATTTTTGTCAAAATAAAAAGAAAATACATTGTAGTTACTGAAATTTTTATCTTTTATTTAAAAAAAAAAAAAAAAAAATCATTTTAAAGTGTTTTTTAAAATGTAGGATGGTCGCAAACTCCGTGTGTGTTTGTGTGTGTGTGTATATATATATATAAAAAATGATTTGCCATTTTGATTTACAATCAGATAAAATAAATTTTATTGAGTAATGCTGTATGAACTAAGCCTCAGTTTGTATAAATTTTTTTTTTTTTTTTAATTGTCAAAAGAGAAAATAAATATTTTGGCTTACATATAAGATTGACAACTACTTATAGCAAGTTATTAAAATTGCTAATCCCATACACATTTCTATGCTTTTAATGTAGTAGAGAATGTAATGCCCACTCCTAAATACCTGCCTGTCCTACACCTTCTCAACAGTTATTTATAACACCTACTTCATAATGACTAAGCCCAACAGCCTAAAACCTTAAATGTTTTCTTAAAAAGAAAAAAAAGTGTCATTCCTGTATAGCCGAGATCTCAATAGGAAGTAAATAAGTCTTTGATATCCTTTAATTTCAATAGCTATATTTTCAATAGTTATCAAATATGCCACTGTGACAGACTAAGTTCAATAAATATCAATATTCTAGATTTCTAACAGACTACAGTCAGTTACCATGCATGATACACGCTTAGGTGGTCATGTATCTAAGAATGTATAACTGATGAGGCATATTTTTTCCCCGCGGTAGGCGCCATCCAAGACTACAGAACCTGGTTTGTCCTGCTATTTACCTATAGCTTGGTAGAAGAAGAGGATTCATACCTTCCCCAAGGGTATTAGCAAGTAAGTTAAAGTAATGGATTTGAGTGGAATTTGAACTCGGCTCTCCGATTCCTCAATCTGAGCCGCTATCCATTAAGCCACCGTCACATATTCTGTAAATAAAAGCCTGATTATATATTGGTGGTTATTACTAGATATTAAAAAGTTAATTTTTGTGTTTGTGAGTTCTGAATCACTTCACAAATCTAAACTAATCTTTTTTTTTTTTTTGAAGGGCATCTTGGTTCAGTACATTTCAACCTTTTTATCCTAGCATCTTTACAGGTTCATTTTGACAGTGAGAAGAAACTTATAAAACTAGATATTCAATTAAAAAAATCACTAATACTTAAAATGCATGTTAAACTGAAGAATAAGCAAAATTTATTTGTATTCTTAAAGAAAATCTGATTTTTATTTAAATAGATCCAACATATTTTGAATAAAAACAACTTAGAAACAAGATATTTACTTGACCTTTTATATGAACACTTGAGCAAAATGTTACATTCATAAATATAACAAATTCTGTAAGGGCTTAACCCTTACAGAATTTGTTATATAAGACAAGAAATAATTATTTTTTACTCAAATTTTATGATACAAAATCTAATGCAAAATAATTTTTTGTCACTGATACCTCAATAAAATAGAAATTCATTCATCATCACTTTAGACATGCACAGAAGTGGTATAAAAAAAAGTACATATTAAAAATTTCTCAACTGCAGTATTTCAGAGAAAATAAAAACGCATGTACATTTTATAAACAAGATAGTACAAGTTATAGCAGTAGGGCTCAAGAGTAACATCGCCCTATAGACAATGGTTTGGCTTTTTGGGACAATACTGAGAAAACACATTTTTAATTAAAATTCTACTAAATTTAATAATATAAAATAAACTAATTTCATAAAATAAATTATTTTTCACCAATAGTGTAGCATGCCTGCATATGCACAGAGACAAAATAAAAGCACCTCTTTTAAACTGGTGAATGAACCTTGAAGGACATAGCTATTTGTATTATTTATCTCTGAAGTGTTATAAATATTACAATCTAATTGTAAGAAATAATTTTGAATTTATAAACAAAAAGAAAATTATTTTTTTTTATTGTCAACTTCTAAAATAATAAAGATGCTTCTAAAATAAACAAAAAATGAGGGAGAATTTAAGAAAATGATAAACATGAAAACAATTGTAAATTAATTTTTAAAACAAATATTTTGCTTTTTAGTTTGTTTTAACTTGTGCTACTTGCATTAAAAACATGTAAATAGCTGAAAAACTTGATACATTTTAATTGTGTTTTTATTATACTATAAGTTAAAAAAAGAAAAAAAATTTTTAGGATCATTTAAAATGATTCCAAGATGATCTTTGGGAAGTGATGTTAGTCTCTGGCACTGAATTTCTTAAAAGTTCATATTTCAAGTTCATAATCAGCCATTTTTAGTTGGGCTTTTTTTTTTTTTAATTGAAAATTGATTTAAAAAGACAAGTCAGGTTAAATCAACATGAAAATATCACAGCTTTTATAAGAAAGATCTTAATGCCCACTTAGGAGATAAAACAGGTAAAATAAAAAAAAAATTATCTAAATAGAAACCTATAAGATCAACAAAGATCAGTCAAGAACTTCAACTATAGTAACTCAAATTTCAAATGACTAGAGTTTATATAAAATGGCAACAATTAATCCAGCTTTTTTTTTCTTTTTCTTTTAAAATGTCTTGTCAATTATGCAGTCTGCAACGGGAAATCTTGCTAAATATATGCAGAAAAGCCTTTAGAAAGTGTTCAGAAGCATTTTGCGACAAGGTAGCATTTCCAAAATTCTGACATTTGGATTGGTTATTTTTATATAAGCCTGGGCTTGGGTATCTCAGAAACAAATGTGAGTGCATGAAAAAGAGAATAGTTGCATACATACACTTGAGACTGACAGCTGACCAAGCAATAAAAAGTAGAAAGTGTAGAATCAAACAGTGACACTGAAACTATCAATAACAAAATGAAATCAGAGTGGAAAATACAATATTTTTCTAATAAAAGGTTTCTGAAGAAAATTCTAATTTTTAATGTTTCCAGAAATCAAAAGAAAGACCTAGCTGACATTTCAAAATACAATGTGCCAGGGTCATTTGTTCAAGCACATTGACTTTCAATCTTAGGCAGGGAAGAAACAACCCTTGATATGGAATTCTGTATCATATATAATACCACATTGGTTTTCTTTTACATATCCAATCAGTAGCATTGTGAATAAGTAGTAGTAGTAGTAGTAGTAATAAAGAGTACTATTTGAGGAAATTATCAAGACATTTGCTTCAGGAATTATGTTCCAAATGCCAAGAACTGGTAACAAGCAAACAAGTAAAATAAAAATTGCAATTGGTCAGTAAGTATTGTGGGGGCAAATAATGCGACATGTTGAATAACCTTCCATGACCACAGGATAGTTATACTTTTGAGCTATTGATCAGTCTTTTAGAATACACTTATCAAATGGGCTTTGGTTAGAATCAACGTACATCCTGATGGGTACAGAGGGAACTATGCTTTTATTTTTTTTGCAATTAATCATATAAAGAGACCTTGTGTCATTATACATGTAATAATGCAAAATAAATTGAAGCCCATTTTATTTATGTTCAAATAAATCAACTGAAATTTTATTTCATTTCAGTAATTTAAAACAAAATAAATTTTAGATAAATTAGGTTATAAAAACATGCACATGTTTTACAGTATATGTAAAAATCCAGATAAGATCTTCATGTACACAAAAATTCAGCCTTTAGATGAATGAGGCTTGTACCTATGGTTGGAACCACATCTTAGCCAAGTGATTACGGAATCCATTCTGTATACTTTTGATTATTAATTAACCACATCTTGTTTTTGTAACTAGGTGTGAGTAATCATATAATAGTTAATTTTTTTCTCTCTCTCTACACACAAGTAAATTTACATCATACTTAACTGAGATAGATTTTAGTTTTACTGATAGTTTGAAATCACTAAATATCATTAGTACCAGGAATGAAAAATTAAGTTTAAAAAAAAAAAAAAAATATCCAAAGAATCATTTATGGAATCGGAAAATAGATTAATCATCACATCGCTATTTAAAATATTTTCAAATGCCTTCTATTGATCAAATTCTAAATATATAAGAAATTATCAATGTTTTGTTAAAACCTACAAGTCTTTCAAAAATCAATTATAAAATCAAAATGCACTAAATATTGCAGTAAAAAGAAAAAAAAAAAAAAAAGAAAAAAAAATCACTTACCTGAGCAATTCCAGTCACTGAAACAGCCACCCCCAACTGGGTGTAAACTTGTGAGCTTTCTATTGCCAAAGTCATAGTATTTAATGTCAATCTGCAACAAATACTGGTGTGTGTCAAGCACTGCAGAGTAAATCCCTCCAGAGCAGGAAAAAGACAGTAAAAGGAACAGCATGCAAAAAAGCAGGAAGAAGACAAGCAACCACGACGTGCAACACAGTTATTCATTACAAACACTCATTTTTATTAAAAATTGATTAGTTTCAAAAATTGGGAAATTATAAGTGAACTTGGGCAACAAAAAAGATTTAAATTTGGGTCGAAAGGAGATGATTTTATTTTAATTAAACTTAAGCATTACTAATTCTGGCTTCTATCAAAATTTAAAAAACTTTCTTACACAAATATTATATATAATGTACTGAATAGATTTTATTTTTGAACCTGAGACTAACAACACTTTACTTTTTCTAGACATCATGCTACATAGAAGTAATAACCTTCAGTTGGATGTTTACAGAAAATGTATCAGCACAAATGACCAATTTCTATTGTCACCATTGCAAGAAAAAAAATCTGGAATAATTGGATTCTATTTAAGAGGACTAAGAATCTGCAGTTCCTAATATTAACCTGAAGAAATATAGAAAACACCTTAACCCCCCCACCACCACCAAACACCAATTTCCAGATCACTGAAATATACACACACACGCGCGCATATATACATTACCAGTTTGTGACTGGTAGGGATAATTCCAAGGAGGATATAATCCAGGAAGAGCTCAATGTAGACTATAGAGCATTAAAATGATAATAATAAAGGAATCTTTAATTATTCATTTTGATTATAATTTACTCTGAACACCAAAGTGTTTATCTCTTCAGATCGAAATCTTAGTAAATGGAGACAGTACATTGGACGGATATATTAGATTGATAGCAGGGAGGGAAAGCAAGAGAGAAGAGATGTGATATAGTTGGGGAGTGGGGGGGTAGGAAAAGAAAGGGTTAAGGAATTAGTGGTTGGGTAGCAGTAAGCTTAAACCGGCTGGCCCAGTTGAGAATTTTTCCTTTAAAATTTGGGACTTTTTATATTGGAACTATGTACATTGGTTTATAAACTATATACACAGTTCCAAACTAAGGAAATTCTTTACCAGGTCAGTCTGTTAAGGATTACTACTACTACCCATCCATTACCTTCTTAACCCTTTCTTTTCCACCCCACTCCATCTCATCATTTTAAATGAGCCTTCCCCTCCTTCTCTTACACCCTCTCTCTTGCGTTCACTTCCCCCATCAATATGATATATCTGTCCTCTATATTGTCTCCATTGACTACAAAATTCCAGTCTGAAGAAACAAATACTTGGGTATTATTGTAATCTCCACTTATTATTTGAATTAAGGTCTCCTTCATTAAACTAATTTGGAATCGAATTGGCTTGTCCTGCCTAAAACAACCCATATCGGTCAATATATATAATCCAATATAAAAAGTAACAAATTTTAAAGGAAAAATTCTCTGCCGAGCCAGCCAATTTAAGCTTACTACTACTACTACCCAAACACTAATTCCTTAAATCTTTGTGAAATTTTTCTACAGAAAGATGACAAACTAGATGAAAACAGACATAATACTACCTACTAACTCCTTAACATCAATTATCCAAAGCAATTTATACAATCTTGACATCAAAATAATTACAACCACATCCCAAACTAGGTGGATATGATCAGAACCAAAAAGATCCATAACAATAATTCTGAAGCAGGAATATATTAAAAACTGTCACAACTTTTCCCTACAAAAATATATTGGGTAAACTTGCAGGAATTTAAAGAAGTATCAATGAACACGAAAAGAATCTCATGAGTAACAATTTATCAAATGCATAACTTATACACAGAAATAAGTTCAACCACAACTGTAATATAAAGAATGTCACACTTATTAAAAGAGAAATTAACTTGCTTAGGGGAAAATTCTTGAAAGGGCTGCTATTGAATCTTACCAAAATATAAATCTTCACCCTAGATTTCTTTTGAATATCTCTTACTTAGGTACCTCCACAAGATTGCTAAAAAAAGAACATAGCATGATGAAAAAGACGCCAAACTTGATGAAAACAAAATTTTATCGTCTAAATGTTTATGTTATTATTAAGAGGAAAGATCAAAAGTATTTTGGGGGTATTTTTTTACATTTTTAAACGTTCCTAGCACGTCTGAAATTTTTGTTAAAAATCTTTTTTTTTTTTTGAGTCAGCAAAATTGACCATTTTTTTTTCCATTTTAAAAAAACTGAAATCTGACTTTTGAAATTTTTTAAATATCAATTATCATTTTTTCAAAACTTATTTTAAGAAAATCAAAAATTATAATGTTTATTTAAAATATTTTGAACCAAACTTAACTTAGCTTTTGTGCCAAAAAAGATGTAATTTGAAAATAAAACAAAGCAGGTCATAAACTTTTGCGTCTCTTGACATGTGATGAATTCCATATTTACGCTAATTTTGTTCTCTGACGGAAGGAGAAAAGTGAAATAATTTACATTTACGTGAACAAATTATTTACCCAGTTATTTTTAACAAAAACTTTCAGCGGTCTAATTTTTTTTTTTTTTACTTAGCTTTCACCTTTACGTTTATGATGCTTTATGGGAAATATATTGTAAAGAAATTAAAATAAAACTGTTAAGAGTGACATTAAATTTCATATTTCTTAAGAAAAGTATCTAATTAATTTATAGGTACCTTTCTTATGAAATTTTATCAGAATTGTACATAAAATACTATAATTTTATGTACATTTATTACATTCTACTGTTATTTGTATTTGCATTCATTTTATTATTAATTTTGATATTTCATTTATGGAAAAATGTCGTAACTGAGATTAATATAAAAATAAGATCATATAAATTTCATAAGATGATATTGATACTTGTAGGTACCCTTCTCAGTTGAAATTGAAAAATCAAATTAACTTCTCCACACGTGTTTCAAAAAAGTAAAGGCCTTAACAGCGGAGAACAATGCTTAACTCAAATAACGCAAACTTAATTATATTCTGGTTGGTCTTCCGTATTTTATAATTACAGCTCGATTATAAGCACAAAATTACATTTCTTAATTACTGGGGATCTTCTGATTAGTCAAAATTTTTACAACGCGCTAAAAAAAGATCTATCTCATAAGGACACTTATGAAAGCCGATCTTGACTTTTAACTAATTTTATAATATTTTAACAACTTAAATGTAAAATCTATTATAATTAATGAAATAACAAATAATTGTATTAAAAATTCATTTTTCATCGAAAAATTTTTTGCTTTCAGAAAATATTGTCCATATTCATAAAAACAACTAAAAGCAAATAAAAGCATTTGAAATTAAATAATATCTTTGTTTTATTGAGTTTTGTATGTTACAATTCAGAGCTGATTTGCAGGTACTGCGTATCCAATTAAAAACAAAAAAAAACATGATTTGCATTCCTCAAAGCCCTGTGCTTTTAATTATTGTAATCACTAAAACTGATGCGATCAATTTCTAGCGTTTTCATAAAATTAGTTGGGGGGTAATAAATATTTTAAAAAAAATATTTCTACCATGACTTTCATAAAAAAACATTTATAATAATTTTGATCATCTGTGAATAGTTCCTGAAAGTTTCATTAACATCCGATAATTATTTCTATTTTTGCACGATTTTTTCAAATTAATGTGTGTCATACCAAAAAACGTGCTAAAATTGTCTATGTTATTTACTAGTTCCACTGATACAAATAGAAACAAGGTTTTTTTAATCAAAATTTAGAATGTTCTAAAAAGAAGGAAAATTTTTTAAAAATAATTAAAAAAAAAACTTGGTCTTTCCTCTTAATAATAACATAAGCATTTAGACAATAAAATTTTGTTTTCGGCAAGGTTGGTGTCTTTTTCATCAAGCTATGCTCTTTTTTTAGCGATTTCGTGGAGGTACCTACTCTTACTAAAGGAAACTTTTCCTATGCTAACATACAGGACTATAAAATTTAAAAAAAAAAAAAAAAAAAAAAAAAAAAAAAATTAAAAGAAAAATTCAATATTTAAAATATATGATACATAAATTGATTTCACAAGCTAAAATAATAAAAAAAAAAATATTCAAAATTTACTCGCTTCCATTTATTAAATTACATCACTTAGCTTTATTCATAATTTACCGTGACTTTCAGTTAGCCTGAAGTATATTTATGAGCATTCTTAAAAACTAACAATATTTTTTACTTCTGTTTATAAGTACTTGTTGCAAAATAAAATCCTTACATTTGCCTTATTAAAGTCCATCAGAGGACAAAATATGTTTACTAAGAAAAGTTTTCCTTTTTGTCTATTCATAGGAAACTCAAAGTGGAAAAAATTTTGTGCAACACTTTGTCCTTTAGGACTTCATTGGACTAAAGTGGTATTTATGTTAATGAGACTAGATATGTGCAAAGTAGAACAAATTTGTGCATTTCTAGTCTCATCAACATAACTATTACTTTAGTCCAATGAAGTCCTAAAGGACAAAGTGTGTAATACAATTTTTTCCACTTTTTTTATTGATTTTCCTAGCATTGTTCTGGTATATAAGAAATTTATATACCTTCCTCTCCCTTTCTATAAGGAGATCACTAGATTCAGCCCCAGATCAAATGATGTAACAATGTTCTACCATAGATATATTTAGGATATTATTAACTCAATAAAGACATAACTGTTGGTTATTAAGTTGTGTTGCTAAATAAGAACATTTCATTTGTAAAGTTTGCATCTAACTACACTGTCATTAAGACTTAAGAATCTGGTAGTCCCTTAAAGAACCAAGATCCACATAATGCATTCAATGTCACATCCAACTAATTCAAATTATTTTCTTAAAAAAAAGTTACCTTTAATCTATGTTATATCTAAAATAAATCTTTGCTAATATTTGTATCTCACAGTTTAAATAAACCCAATCATAACCACTAACCAATTCTGCTGTGGGCCAAGGAGAGATGAAAAATAAAGAAACCCCTTCCTGCCTACATGTAGGATAAGCATTTTTGGATGGAT